AGAGACAATCCAATCCCATTTCTACTTTTTTTATAAGCAAAAACCTCAAAACAGAAATCCCCCCAGACTAAAACCTATTCCCCAAGCCAGCCAGCCACAACACCGTGAATTCCTCAGGGAGGTGCCAGCCTCATCCTCTTGAACTTCCCACGCTCCTCCGGTGAACTAAGAACACGCTTATCTCCCTGAGCCTGGCCTTCATAATTCCATTCCATCACAGCCAGCTTCCGACAAGCAAAGTCAGTGGGGAAGCTGGCAGGAAATTGGAAGTCACAGTCAGATAAGGTCCTCGCTTAATGACCTGCTCGGTCCTCACTTAATGATGGCAACTGGGACTGCTGTCACTGCTGTCACTAAGCGACGCAGTTATGTGACATCGCACTTTATGACCACATCGCTTAGCAATGGCATTTCCACTCCCAATTGCTGTCATAACCTGAGGACTACTTGTACAACAAAACCTATTCTAAAAGTGGGAATTAAAGTGGTGCCTGTTAAGAACACAATTATGCTAGCATGAATCTAAAGAGCTCCCTCCCTTTACCTTTTGCTCCTTTGTAGACTATTTATTTGTTTATTTATCACATTTGTACGGCTGCCCATCTCAGAAAAAGCAACTCTGAGCGGCTTACAACAATCTAGTTGACTGGTTGACTAGCTGAATTGGTGACTGAGCCCAATTCATCATTTCCTGCATTGACCCAATGCCCAGAAGGGAAAACAGATTGTTTCTTCCTAAGTTTCATCTGCCCCACTGGCTACCTAGCCTGAAATCCAAACCTCTGGTGCAACATCTGGAAAGAGGGATCTATCTGTATGCAGCCACTCATCTTTAAATCCTGCAAACACCCTTGAAGCCTCCTGACAATGCTAGTTCTCGCTCTAGTGAGAGTTGAGACATTTGCATCTGTACCCCTACGTGAATACCTGCTCCATTGCATGGATCATGGGGTGGGATACATAGAACTAGGCAAATCTCCTCTTCACCTCCTGCATCTCAATATGGGCCAGGGTCAGTTTCTGAGGGATGAGCAGGGAGTCACCTCCCCTCCAATATTACTCCGTGTGTTCTTAATACTTTTCTAATTCTATGACCTTAAAAATATACAATTTGCATCACATACCTAATGCTCCCCCCTCCTATTTTCCCCACAACCACCACCCTGTGAGGAGACTTGGGCGGAGACAGAGGGAGTGGCCCAAAGTCACCCAGCTGGCTTCCATGCCTACGGGAGGACTAGAACTGACAATCTCCCAATTTCTCATCTAACACCTTCATCACCACACCAAATCTCAGACAACACCTAACCGCCCACCCTCTGGTGTTCAGCAACACACATCACGCCATGGATCTTTCCCTTGGGCTGAGCTGATACTCTCCAGCCATCCTGGAGTGAGAAGAAAATTAGACTGTCATGAAATCTGAGGTTCCCATCATTGATCTATTCCTCAGATCCCAGTCCTTGCCAGTCCCCTGACATTCCTCCAGGTAGTAACAAGGCCTTCATGCCTTGAAGCTGCCCTTGGGTTGTGTGGGGAGAAGGGAGAAAACACAACTTCCATACTGGAAGAACTCACAACGTCTTAAGCCAATTTCACTGCAGATCTGCCAGAATTGGAATAAAGCCAATGTTGTGGGGATAAGGCAGAAAAAAAACATTGCGGATGCATGCTTATGCTGAGTTTGCATTAGATACTCAAATCATAATGTGCTAACCCATTTGACTGTCTTTCCTGCTGCCAGATCAAATGGACAGACATGATCTGGAGAAGGAAAACAGGGTGGTTGTGACCTGAAGGACGCCCCAGTGAGGGGAGGCTCTACCTTGGCTAGCAGGTATTTATTCTTCTGCAAAGCAGCACATGCACAGAGAAACCAGCAATCTCCCAGCATCCCTTGCTTGACCTGCCACTCATGTTGATTGTCTGAAAATAATCGAGGTGAAGAACAGATCTCCTAATGGGGAAAAAGAAGAAGAACATTTAGAAGGGAAACATGCTGTTTGCAATAATTTCCTCCCTCCCTCCCTCCCTCTGAACTGTTTTAGAGATATGGTTGATTTTACTCTCTGCCTTCTATTTACTAGACTTGAGCCCGTGCAGTAAAGTGACTGGGTGACTCACTTCTAAACCAATCCCACTATTCTCTCCATCCAATGAATTACCCACATCTGATCAATTCTGCCCCTTTCAGAAATGCCTCAAACCTTATATCGTATATACTCGTGTATAAGCCCATCTGTGGATTAGCCAACCCTTGACTTTTTAACCAAAGTACCATGAAAATTGTGCCAGCTGAGGATAAGCTGACCCTTATCCATGGGTGGGCTTACACATGAGTATATACAGGAAATATGGGTACTTTTAAAAAGTATTACATGGCTAAACCTATCTGCGGATAAGTCAAACCTGATTTTTGGGGTTGTATTTTGGCCTTTAAAATTCTCGGCTTATCCACAAGTATATATATGGTATGTAGGGTTTATTTTCTGGCTCAGGAACATGAACTGCTTTGAAGAAATGCAAAACAATTATTTGAGAAATAGAGAACATCTGATCCTCAGAGGGGTGCCAGCCTCTGGCTGCCAAAATGAAACTGCTGCCATGGGACACAAATTAGCTCTTTGATGGTGTGCACACAGAAGACCAGAGAAGCCTGCTCAGGGAGGGTGGGGGGACTAAATAAATTGCAAGTTTATTCAGGAAGCTAGGGAAAAGCCAGTGGCTAGTATACCTATTGTAGGGTACACCAGGAAGAGGCAAGAAGGCAGACATTCTTGGGGGGGTGTCTCTTCTCCCTTAGAACAGATTACCCCCTAAGCCAGTGTTGTCCAAACTTGGCCACTTTAAGATGAGTGGACTTCAACTCCCA